ATCAGGAAAGAACAAGGGGTTAATCAGAAACGGGTGGGGCAGGTTCGAACACACGACGTCTCCAGATTGATTAACTTGATGAACTTAATCGCTTGATCATCGTCATGTAATTTTCCCCACTCCGACTCATCAACTCAAACTAAACCAATGATATGAACGTTCTCCACTTCAAATTCTCCGACACCAACATCTACAATTGTAAACAGAGTGATCTTCCACTAAAGGAAGATAATTACAACCGCTGCAGACTTGAAATTAGTTTTTCATACGGATTCACGGTATAGAAAATGGTAATTCGATTTTTTGGAGCTTATATGATAGCATATGATACGCGTAAAACGATAACAGGGGATAAAACCTACCACTTCTACTCGGAAACGTTGCAGTGGGGGACGAATTGTGTCCGGAATGCGATAGTCCTCCTCACGGCGCTTGATTACCAACGGGGGCGGAGCCAGGCCCAGTTTGATCGGCTTTCGTTTACTTTTCGGTTTTTCCCCACCGGTCACAATCGTGTCCACATCGAAGTACATATCATCATCATCATCACTCTCCTCATCCTCCTCTTCCTCGTCTGTCGACTCGCGATTCAAATCGTCATCGTCGTCCAGAACCATTCCCGGGATACTTTTCAGAATTACACGATTGTCAAACTCTTTTGTATAAATAGCCAGATCGGCAAAACTGGGTAGACCTTCGAATGGAACTTTAGTATTGAGCTACATAGTCACCGATCAGGTAGTGATAACAGCCCGGTGAAATAGAGAACGAGGATGGTGGGGTGGAAGAAAGAAATGCAACCGAAATGATAGACGAGAAATAAGTGTGAATGAGGACAGAACAAATACACATGATTTGGATTAGGGGGTTTTAACGGATTATTCTCCACGTCAAAACTCATTCATTCATAGGTCTATCATTTGCCATTGCAAATCTAATAGTTAAGATCACTCATACATACAAAAACATTAGCGATAACCACGAATGTAGCCCTATGGTATCTTATATTGGCGGCTGCAAATCAAAGCGAACAGGGGGGGGGGATGATAGTAGCTCGACCACATTAACTCCGGGCTCTGAATCCAAGGGGTGTGAAAAGATCCGACTTTTAGNCCCCTCCCCCCCGCCATGGAGCAACCAAGGTAATTGACGCTCACAGAATAGCTTAGACTAAAAGCCTGCTCCTGCGGCCCGTATACTTGATTGCTTTTTATGTCTTAGTTTAATCAAATAGATAGGATCTATAAAAAAAGCTACAAACGTTACATACATATAACCCTCTGGCATCTAATTCGATGCACCTCAGATGGCCGTATTTTTGTATCTGATAATTTAGTTGAAACCTGATAGTTTACAGAAGTACCGTCGCTCAAAATCTAACGCTTAAAAGCCCCATCGCATCAAAGAATACCCGTGTGGTGAACGGAATCCATGTGAGCCAAGGTAATAAACGAATTCCGCCACCTTTGAACTGCTTTTTTCTGTTATTATCAATGCTAACGGAAATGGACATGTGCGGGTTAGCCAATGTCACTCAATCCCTTAATAATGATCGGAGTAGACAATATGTTCCAACATTTCTCACAGTGTTGTATATGAGTAATTCGTTTTGTTCTTGTACCCGCCAACCAATTATGTACGTCTTCCCACACAGAATGAAAAGTGCATCTTTCGGACTACGCCGTAACCAATGCACCGGTTGCAGTCCCTGTTCTGAACAGTGTTCTAGCGATCTCGATCGGTTGTACTCCGACTACAGTTCACCCGAACACTAATTTGAGTGTGTGTGGTCATACAGCCTCATCTAGCAACCGGGTAGTTTATTTGCATCCGCCTGGTTTTTATCCAGAATGAGTTATGCGCTGGTCAACTCCGACTGAGAAGACAAACAACGGCTTTTTATTCTCAAATTAAACAGTGTTTTTGTCAAATTCGTTTATTGAATCCCGTTTCAATAGGTAAATGATCACGTAGAGAATTGGGCATTACGTTTATTTACAGTAGGTGCACATGTAGCCAGTCTGCAGGCCACTGAGCAGGCAGGAGCGCAAAATACGCAAACACATAAGCAAGCGGGCTGAAATCTGGCTTGAGTGTCACATGACATCTGAATCCCATCAAGCAGGTAGTAAAACAGACCATGAATCAATCGGCGCGGACAACCAAATATTAACACGGTTGGTTGGAACCGATCCAAATGACGTGAGCGCGTGTGTGTGTGGTAGCAGACAGCACCGGCCAACCAATCAATCAAATAAGGCCTAGGCATCCACGAAAAACGTTGCAGTCAATTTTAGGTCAAAATCTCGTGAAGTACTTTTCCGATTCAATCTAACATTCCCGCAAATCAAAATCAAAATGGCTTAAACTTCGATTAGGATATTGAATATTGTTACCGGTTGGGTAACAAATGACTGCATGCTCGTTTACCACTAGAGAGAAAAAAAAACAAGAGAAATCATTATGAGGCTTATCAAATTCACACAAAGAAATATGACATCGGGAAGGATAACGCTATAAGGAAACCGGCCGTCTGAAACCACTAGGAGGACCTACAATTCTGAAATTGGAATAAAATTACCGTGAGTGAACAAGTTTCCCCGGGGGGGGGGGGGGGACTTCTGGACAGTAGATCACTGTGACTACCAGTTACATTCGGACTGTGGTTAAATCAGATTCAGTTTTGAAGTACCGGCTAACTGGACTCACCTGAATAAGGTCAAACGCAGCCAATAACTCCCCGGCCGGTGTCTGACCCCGATATATGGGCCACCACTGTAGTCGCGGAGGCGTATACTGATCTCGGTCAATAAACACTTGTGCTTCGCAGAAACAACGACCCAAGAATTCCAACTCGTTCTGAAAAAGTGAATTCATTTATATTGGAAAAAAGAACGATATTTTAATCATCTGATCGAGCAGTACTGTTCCAGTAGGACAGCGTGTGAGGTGGACCACACAGTGCTTCAACAAACGCTAAGAACAACAAAGTGCAAAGTGGTCTCGGACTTTCGTTCGTTCATTTTTTTCACGTTCTGCTGAAACTTTGTGCGATGTGCAGTGTTTAGAAAAGTCATGCTATTAGGTGGCAAAAAATGCATAGACACACACAAAAGGCACAAATTGGATTCACCAACGTACAGGATCGCGTATAACTCCCGTCTAAAGCGAAATACAAACAGATGGGTGTATTTACGTCAGTCGCTGCTATACGTGAAATCGGATGTCGATTAAATAAAAACAGGTGCAAATCGACGCGCCAAACGAGAGTAGCGGTGCACAAAACGGATACTAACTCAATGTGAATGTATCTTCGGTCACGGTCCCAGTCAAATTGTGTCAATAGGCACATTCGGACAGTTGAAGTGGGATTTAGCTTTGTTCCACTGTTTTGTTTTGATGAAAACACATTCATGGCTAGGACAGATGCGAATTCACCGATTCCTCAGTGTCTTGTCTAAACCTTGACCCCGTCGCGCGGACGGTTGCTCAAAACAACCGCAGAAATCTTTCACAACTCGAACTATTCATCAAAGTACCGTTTTGTTTGCCGTCAAAGAGCACTACCCAAATCAAACGACATACCAGATTGTGAAAGCAGACAGCGGCCGAATGTGACGGTTGAGACTTGGAGACTTACAAACGGTACGCCACATCCACTGCAGATCCATCTGTGGCATCACAGCCCACCGTATCAAACAGAGGGGATCAGTTCCTAGTCGGGGCCACTTCAACAGTGACACCGGCCGAATCATTGTCGTTTCTCTTTGAAGGGCAAGTAAAAGAGTCGATAACACAGTTTTCAAGAAAGGATTTGGTACTGGTAGAAACCAACAGTAAGGAGCAGTAAGGATTCCCAACAGCATATATGTCAAGCGGAACTATGATGCCTTGACACGGACGAAGACAAATCCAGAAAACTGAGACAGACAGACAGACAGACAGACAGACAGACAGACAGACAGACAGACAGACAGACAGACAATGAACCAACGTGGAAAGCGAAGGTTCTAAGGTTGCATAATAATGAAAGTGGGAAAAGAGTTTATCGTTATAACAAGAATTACAAAGAGGAGGACGAAAGGACGGGTTAGAAAAACGATTAGGGTGCTTGGAATGACACTTAACTAACCGATGATGATGATGATGAAGAGGATTACCGGTGCTCTGTTTTTGATGATCACAACGACACAGTTGATGTGGATAGTGATTTAAAAAAAATAGTGTCTGAAATGTTTAGTTACGGTAGTTTTGAAACAGTCTGTATGATTGTGACAGAGACATCTTTGAGGTATACTTCGATAATATGATAACGTTTGTTAGATTCAACATTTAGCTAAAGATTTTACGTAGTAATTATCAATCGCAAGATCTTTTTATCCAAAAAAGCCTACTAAAAGAAATATGCGAAAAGCAATGCACAAAGATGCAAACAGCACATTACTGTTAGCTAACAGCTAACAACCTCTGGGTTACAGTAGGAGAAAAAAATCAGCAGCTTAGGAAATCTACTCATTCAGCGGAGGAAAATAGTTTGTTGCTGAAAACTGGACAGCCTACCAACCTTTAATCCCTGAAACAAAAGGTAATAAACACATTATCGCGTTAATATCATTCTGTAATAGATTGTTGGGAAGGTGAGAAAACAATGCGTACCGAATTCCTTAGTAACTCAGTACCTCAATTCACTATCGACTGAATTCGTTGATTATGTCGGGGCTCTCTGTCCGTTAAATCGGTTCTAGATCGGGTACAAACTTTCCTACAACATTCTATGAGAAGAATTATTTCGCCGGTTGAGAAGATTTAAACAGCTTTCTGCTTGCAATCAGTCCAAAGGGGGATCGGGAATTGTGCTATATACCGTTGTATTGCAGAAAATGAGGATATAACTAAATAAATCAACATGTTGCGTATTGCGATTTGGGCACAGAATGGTGTGTATCAACGGTTACGTATTCGTATGTGGTCAGGACAGAATGTTTCTAAAGCTATCTCTTTCTCACTGTACACAAGCCACGTCCACTCGTTGCATTACCTTGGCTTTTCGAAGTCTTTGTTGTCAACTGTCGACAATCAGTGGCGTATCTTTCGTGCCTTTGAAGAACTACCTACCAAGCCCGGTGAGTTGAACCTGTGCGTGCGAGAACTATTTTCACATAAAATCCTCTCTGATCCCATTCAACATTTAGATAACACTTTATCCAACAGTTGCTAACCCTACCTCAGCAACTGCAGCAGAAACTTCACTGTTCTCGTTCAAATCCCTAATCTCTGTCCCCCCCCGCTCCAAATTTGGAAGCGACTCTCACTTGAATTTCTCAGCGACCTCTGACGAGTATTATTTCATTCTTTTCGATGTGATAATGGACTTATTTTTTGCCCAAATATAGAATTTCTCTATGCAACATCCTCAATCTAATGAATCGTGCTGATTCTTACTTCTCGTGCAGGATTATATTCCCGCAAATGAAGCCTGCTCGGACCCATTTCTTTTGTCCAAGCCGCTAGAATTATCAGGTGATCTCACAGGGCATTGCGGCTGAGTGCACAGGTTCACAAGCGGACACTTGCATAGGGCCACCGGGGAGACAGAGACAGACAGATAGAGAGAGAGAACCATGCAGCGTATTGGCTGTACATCCAAGCTGAGTTCAAACTCCCCCACAAAATTTAGTAATAACCTGTAATTTTTACTACTGGTTTTATCTGCTGTGGTAAAACTGAGATTTCGACTTGGTTCTGTACAAATGGGAGTATTTTTGGAGTTTGAATGCATTGAATTCTCTTTATCCATTTCATCAATATAGGAGTGACGCTAATCCTCATGGCATCAATACAGAAAGAAGACGAATGTCGCGAGATGTTAACATGGCGTTTTTTCTTCTCAATCGCTGATTTAAAACAAACAGGCACATATTTGCTACATGGTTTTGTTCAATTATGGTGAATGAAAGTGTACAACAATACCAAGATTACTAAACACGGAAGTATAAGGTTGAATCCACGGTAAGTGGATTGATTTTATCACATAAGGTCGGGTGATCGAGAAGATTAAACGAAATGTTAACATCTCGCGACTTTTGTTTTCTTTCTATGTCTTTGTATTTGGAGTTTGAGAAATAAGGATTTGAGGATACCGTTGAGTTACATGCAGCGGTTCAACTACTCAATACGTTGACCAGACTAGCATGAGCATGAATACAGGTGCCTCGGTGTGCAAGAAAAAGAAATCGAAGAGAGGGATTGGAAAACGTGAACAATATGCCAACCAGAACCACTGATTGGAAGTGGAAAACCTACCCCAGGATCAACGTCAAACACCTCAACCACCACCTCCTGCAAATTCTTCTTCACTGACTCCGGATCCTGGTGGAAAAGTACCTTCTTGTGTAACAACACGTCCCACATCGGGCTCATAGTCTGGTACAGCGGCTGAGTCTCCAACACATGCTCTTTGATTATTACACGAGCCAACGGATCAGACAAACCGGTATCGTCCGAGGCGAGCAAATTTCGAGCAATGAAAATGTAGCAGCGCAATTCGAACATGCTTGTGCCTGGAGAAGTTCGGGTTTGGGATGAAGTGGGGCGGATGGAGTGAGAGACGTATAAACTCGGAGATTTGAGCTTATTCACCATCAGTTATTCGGTTTCAAATTCGGTATTCTAGATTAATCAATTAAGAAGCGTGCTATTCGATTTAAATCAAAATTTTATGTCACTCAACATAATACTCAAAATCGTTGCACACATCTAATTATTTTGCCTGATGTACTAATCTGTTTTGAGGAAAAGTTTGGCAGTAGAATAATTTTTTTCTGAACATCTGGATTAACTAGCAAAACCTGGTACCATTCCAACCGTTTCATGTAAACGTGTTCAAACATACATGATTTATTTATTATTATTATTATTATACTTTAACAGTTTTCAGAGACCCTCTGAGTTTGACTATCGGTTCCTTTCAATTTCAGTTTTTACAACCATTAACGATGCACCTGCCTGGTGGTTTCGGTTGCTGAGGGTTTAGGTTGCCCATTTGGATAAAATAGCAGAAGGAAGCATGGAATGTTGCGAGAAGAGTGAATGAGAAGATAGATAATTCATGTAGAATGGGTTTCTGAGGATAATGATTAGATCAACGAGCGCCACTGATCGCGACACAAAGTCATATCACTCAGTGTCTCCAAATACCAGTTACCATGGTCTCGAGGCCCTCATTTAAGGAGCCTATGGCGAGCTATGTGAGCAGATTTCTTGGTCAGGACCATCATAATCTCATGCCAAGTCTTAGTTTGATTGCCCCTGGCTTTTTTCCATCCACTGCCTGCCTCGGTGAACATCGCCCTCCGTAGCAATCCATTTAGTGACATAAACAACACATCTCCCAACCAGCGTATTCCATGAATGACCTCGATTAACTTAAACTCAGCGTCTATTCCCTCAGCATCGCCTACTTGGTTTCCCCCACATGATCCGTGCAATGCTGCGTAGGCAGTGGTGTTGGAATACCAACAGTCTATGTTCATCCTGTTCCCGTAATGGCTAAGTCTCTGTACCGTAAAGCAGCACTGGCCGAACTCCATGGACAGCCGACATCTAGACGATGCCACAGATGTCTCAAGTTGGCAAATGCAAATCGAATTCCATTGCACCTGTTCGCCGAGCTTGGCAATTTGTTTGCAAATGTTTCATCACCAGCCGAGGCGACATCATCAGTGCTTATGAAGTGACAAGCACTGATGATGTCACCTCGGCTGGTGATGAAACGTTTGTAAACAAATTGCCAAGCTTGGTGAGCAGGCTCAATGAAATTCAGTTCACTCGAGCTACGAGAACCAATTTTCAATATTTTGTTAAATGCTAATCGAGCCTTCAGTATGCGTGTCGAGAATTCATCCATGATGTGTCCAGCAGGTGCGATCTAGCAAAATAGAGGGAAATTTATCTACTTCCTCAGTAAGAGTGAAGACGGGCTGGGCCAACCCAGTCTTGTAGCAACACCTTACACTTTGAAGGTGAAAAACGCATACCGCACATGGATACACTAGCACTCAAACTACCGAGTGGATCTATCGTCTGTCAAAGTTAGAAATGAATATATGACAGCGAACTGAAGCAACCAATCACAGCGGAACACGTAACTTACGGTCGTACATCAGGGCTTTTGGAGGCCGTCCTTGTTCCAAACAGCTTTTCCGAACTCCATATGGGATGTATTGATGGAATGTTGTGTAATCTTTGAGCAGACTCAGCCACATGAATATTTGCAGTTGGCATTGGATTTTCCAACCCTTTTCGCCGACACCCTCGCGACCTTGTTTCTGACAATGAACAGAGAGGTGGGCACAGTGGAAGGAACTATGTTATGTCTGGGGAGGGGGCTCACATTTATTAAAGTTATTGAATTTGTACTAGAAATGCTAGCAAACAGTTTTAATGTCAACCTGGTTAGTTACATATTTTCAAGTATCATCAAAATGATACCATGTATGGAACAAAGTTCCAAAACAAGTTATACTTTTTCCTCAAAATTTTGATCATTTTACAGGGATAATTTACTCCCTTTTTCTACTACTGACCACTGTTTTGCCTTATAATCCCATGTTACCTGGTGACGTGAAATTAGTAACTAAAAGATATTTTTCATATTTCAACTATCCAATCAATCCAGGAAGTTCTGGGTTTGAACTCAACCACGTTCATCGCCACCTTACTTTGCTAGTTCTTTTCACACCCTGAAAGGTGTGAATTAGGCACACTGTTGCACTGCGGAAATTCACTTTCTAGCTGAGGACTGAATACGCGGGAAAAGATAACGTGGAGTTAAGCTAGACTCATTTAAAATAACTTCCCCTCCCCCCGGGCAAAGCAAATTGTGCATTAGTGTATTGGCTTCGCTTGATGAGTTTGATCCGCTGCTTGTAATGTTGTGATTTACAATTTTGAAATGCTGGGATAAAGTTGTTTTTTTATGTAAACTTGTGCACATTTCTTAACCTGAAATTGAATTTTCTTATTTCAAATCATCTTCAGTTCTGACTCCGTGGTACATCTAGCGTCTAAGTCGCTTGTTTTCAACAGAGAAGGACCTCGAACAGAAAAAACAAACAAACTAAACTTTATGTGTTCCATTCGTCCCAGGTACCATAGGTATTTGGAAAATCCGATGGAATCCAATTTGGAATTATAAATCGTAGTCTCAGCGATTCGTCAGCTCTTGCAAATTTGTGATTGTGCCATATGAACATCGCCTCAAGACACAATTGGCTCACAGAAATTTCGGAATTATAAGCGATCAGTGAGAAGAGGTTCACGAGAGACACATAGAAAAGGTGAATGGGAGAATAGTCAGTTGAGCCCAGGCATCTATCGATCCATTATTACGTGTCTCTATGTTTCTCAGGACAGGGTTCCAGTACCACTCATTCAGTAGGCTGCGTGAGTTTCGGTAATCATCTTACCTAGTTCGCTTCGGTGTGACTTCTTCCATTTCTTCCTGAAGTTACTGTGCAAAAGCTTCGTTGAATTAGGCTAGATAATTTACCTCCTTTGGTGTGATTTTTAAAAAATTCTGGACAGCTTCGAACAGCACAACTGAACTGACACATTGACTAACAAAACAGAAATGGGACAATGGGACTATATAAAAACATACAGCCAGCGGACGTGTCCTGTCCTTGGGTGTGCGCTCGGCTGACTCAGTTTTGTATTGAAACTCACAACAAATTGCTCGGACAATACGGATTTATGTTGATTTACCTCGGTTCGGTGGAGCTCTTTGCAAATACCAGTAGACCGACAGGGGAACCCTGGTGTTTTACTTATTTTCCGATCTTCAGATCCGTCGGACTATTTTCGTCATACATTTCGTCCCCGTACGATTCTGTGTGTACAGAACTTCAAGTTTGACCGGTTTTAGTACTAGACGATTATACTTAATGTAGGAGTTTTGCCGTCCTATTCATATCCTGACTGCCGGATATCCATCATGTGTGTTGTGTAGTTCATGCCCTGAGTACCTGACTTGTTTTCAGTGTTTTCTTATCTTTCAGTCCAGTGACTACCTCATGTTGGGCAAAATGAGTCTGCAGTACCATTCAGTCTATCGGCTTACTCTGACGTAGACTGTCGAAATTTGACCGTTCCATTTGCCCCGTTCCGAATCGACCACGGAGTAATAAATGTCCCGGGCCGGGATTCGTGCAAATCCGACTCGCTGTCCGTCCATGATCATGGAAATAAACACGTCCGGTAGCGCGTCTTGTGGCTGTAACCGGGGTTGGGTTGGGGACAAACAAAGATTTGAAAATGTCAGTAGTCTCCATCACGATCAAGAGCGAATTCAACAGGATTATAAACCATTTTTGAATCTGGGGGTGTTAAAGGGATGCAACAATATGGCATTTGTCACTGAATGCAAACATCCTTCATCAAGCCGATGCTTAGACTATTCCCGTCGTACTATACGTGAAACCACCGAGACTATTTTAATGCGAACCCCAAGGGTATCGGATGTTGAATGAAAAATTTAACTTAGCGTACAAGCTTTCTTCGATGACTCATCAACTGGCTAATACGTCACATGACTTCACCAAGTGTTGTCGAACGCACAAGGGGGATTATGTAGACGAATTCCAACCGCTAGGATACGGTTTTTAATCGGCTTTGATCTGCGCCCCAGAACACAATAGAGAGGCCGAAATGCTTCAGTCACACTCACTGTGTGATCGGACTCGGCGAGGTGTAAAACGATGGCACTTCTAGTAGTTTTATTCACACCAGCGTTCAGTCAGGCCGGATGATGTTCCCGAACTCGTGTAGATAGGCGCCTGCTCGGGTAGCTGATATACGTTGCTCGACAGGAACAAGTAAACAGGTACACACAAAATGAGACTGCAGAAGCAGAAATCCTGTCTTTGAGTTACGAACACAAGATCGATCTGGACGTGAATACGACACGTAATTTCGCCACGTGAAAAGTATTCCCCAACGCAGTTCTTAGTTTGGAGTTAACCAACTTCGCCAGTGTATCCCCTTTGAATGTATACTGGCTGCTCTGCGCTTAAAAAATTTTCCCTCGGATAGTTATTTCACAAAACGTTCTGGATAGCCATTTCCTGGTTTATTTGTTTTACTTCCTCCGTGCCTGGACTGGTTAGCCAAGGAAAGACTGATTTGTTTTTACGCATTTTAAACCTATCCTCATCTATGACTACACATTCCTTCAATTGTACGTGTTCTACAAGTTATGTAGGACGAACGATGAGACAGTTCTCACAAAAGATCAGAGAACATAAACCGGCTTGGGTTAGCACGGATTGCATGAAAACAATAACCGGTGCGATTGTGGCCCACCTCGCCGATACCGGGCACCAGCCAGACAACGATGTATTCAAAGTCATTTATAAAGTGCCCCAAAACAAATGGAAGTACGTTCGGAAACGTCACTTGACAACGCAGAAGTTGTAGCAATCAAAATCATGAACCCACCATTGTACAAACGGAAGAAAATAGTTACCGCACTCCAGTTGCCTTGGCACCAAACAACCTATGTGACGACCCGAACCATGACCTCAGTCATGTCGCGATGACACAACATGGCGTGACAAATTGTACGTGAACAAAGGTCATCGGAAATTTCCAGAATTGACTTTGGTCCCCCTTCGCCCTCATTTTCTCCATTCGCTGAGATTAGATTTGACAGACATTGTTGTATTTTCACATTTACCCTCAATGAAGCAATCACATATATTTTTACATTAGATATAAACACACACATGACTGTACATTTGTATATTCAATGGATAAGAAGGGAGTAAAAAGACATTTTCCCATTTGATCAATGTGTGGGTTGATGCGTAGGAGTACATCTTTACTAATCTCATCTGGAGTTGGAGGGCAGTGGGTGTTTGAATGATTTCACAAATTTTCACAAAATTAAGCATAGTTCTTAGTTATACTAATGAATACTAATAACGAATATTAATAAAAAAAATAACCGAGTAATATATACTTCACAGCGTTTTGCGTGGCATTCCTTCGCTTTCTGGCTTTTATTTGATACACTACGGAGTCAAGCAAGAATTTTCAGTGATTGAATAATTCAATTTGGTACAATCGAAAGATTTCTCTCGTTGAACATATTCTCATCTACAGAGGTGATTACTTTGTTATTTTAGGCGAATATTGGATTTACGCCTTTTTAAACAGATCGGGGCCACAACTATTTGAGTGAATACCCGAATCGTCTGTCTTCTGATTTACCCAACAGGGACTTACATTTCTAACCTCATCAGTCACGCACAAACACACACACATACAGAGTCTTACCGTTTCCATCAACTCCTCCACATGTCGAATTATGGTGTTCAGCTCACGCGCTCGCCAACCCAGATCACGACCGTGAACCGTTGTTAACCGAACCACTTCGAACGAGAGCCGTTTTAAATCGCGACGCACACGTCGCGAGTATTCCACATCCAGCTTGGTTCGGGAAGCAGTTCCACGACACCCGTTCACGTCTTGAATCACAAGCAGCAAGTGTTTCTCCAGATGACGCATAAAGTACTTGAAATAGCGTCGAGCTTGTCGGTTCTCACGACGAAGTACCAAATATCGGAATCGATCCAGACCATATTGCTGGAGCACATCAGAGTAGAACAAAAAAGTAAGTATTGTATTGTAATGAAGCTTCAGCGAGTTATATAAAAGCTTTCAGCCACAAAGATACCATCGTCACAATACTGGCAAAGAGGACATCAAACTTGCAAAAATGTGAATTAACTACTAAATGTATTAGAAATATATCAGAATGATCACTCTCCCTATCGGTCAGTATCCGGGCAAGATGGGGTACAAAAGAGTTTCAGTAGACAGATATCCGAGATGGACTGACTTTGTATTCAGAACGGGTATTGTCAGCAAACTTCAAGCACGCATCAATATACCTATCACAGATATTATCAATCAGAACAGACAAAGGAACTTGGAAAACACGGCTAATCATTGAGATAATAAAGAAGGCAGTACTTATTTTCATCATTTTCCTTCCGGGATTTTTTATCTCCTAGACAGAAAATGAGAGCGGGATCGCTTTTTTGTTGTTGAACTAACGAGTCGGGGTGGTGCTGGTCAAGGAGTAAAAGCTCCAACGTATCGTTCTAGCGGACGTGTTCAAACTTTCCCGCCACCACTCAAACTCCTTTACATGTGTGTCCCTAGGTGATGCCTTTAGGGCTGCAGCCTGCCTTCTACTTGAAAATTGTACAATCTTGGATTCAAAAAAGGATGTAAAAGATTTGAAGTGTGTGATCAAACTGTGTCTGATGGCAGATTCACAGTTTCTTGCTGATTTGGTCAAGATGCTACTCGGAGAAAACCAATAATAATTTGATCAAAAGCGTCAAAATATAATGTTTCTCAAGCGCAATAGGAAATCTGCCGCCTATTCTTACCAGATAGTCCCTTAAACGTTCCAAAATGTTCGGTATACACATTCGCGACCGATGATCTTCAAAGTAACTGATCAAATACATGTTGGGTTTTTCGCCTTGGAAGTCCAAATAGTAGTAGTCCTTGTGTTCCGCTTTGGGCAACATTGGATCCGTGGTACTTTCATTCCAGTCTACCCGTTCTCGTCGGTCGTCTGGAGTTAAACAGACAGCACGTGTGGAGGGAGTGGATTGGGTTTAATGAGTTCATGGGGACAATAAAATCGAATGACTGGGCGGAAAAGAACTGGTAAGACTTTATCCTGTTATTCAATGGAATTCAATGGAACTTGAGCTCAAGATAAGTGAGCAAAACATCCAACAGTGTTCGTTTGGAATTGTTTTTGGTCTGCAAAAACTGGTAGTCGAGTGACCCGCAGACTCCGTCAGTGAACAATCTCGGAGGCCGTGTATATTTATTGCAACATCAGTGGTGCACATCGACCAAATTCACCAAGATTCCAACTCGCTGTTCCTCCGGGATATCCATAATGGCTTGCATAACACGCACATCGATAATTAATTTGTATTTGTTTTATTTGGGTAAGCTTACATGCTTACATTTCAGTTAAAAGATACAGTGATCATCAAAACGAACGAAATGTCTAATTTCACATAAAATGTGACGTGAAGAATTTTGCTGATTTTGTTTTACGTAGACAAATTCTGACATAATTCACATGGTACATATCCATCTGAATTCGGGAAACATGGAACAGCCTCGGAAGAAGCAGTTTGTAAGACCATACAGGAACAGATATTGATAAGTTTACTTCTGTTTAATGAATCCATGAGTTGGGTGTGACCAATCAGGTGTGGGGGGAGGACAACGGACACTGAGTTGAAGCATGTTATGAATTGTATAAGTGTGAATTACACTTGTCTGAAGCAGAAAATCCAATATGTAAATTGGATGTATGAACACCGTTCAGACAGTATTGGTTGAATGTTAAACAATGGGAACTTGATCACGATTGGGCCTGAACAGGTTGATCCATTGGAACTGATAGTACACTCTGTTCGTGAAGCTGACGAGAAAGCAACGGGTTGTCCGGTATAGGGCAGTATTCATTTTATGCCAGGTTACACCGATTATTCACTCACATGAATTAATAATATTTTCCAATAGCCATTTAAGTTGGACGAAATCACAAATCAGAAAAACTTAGCACATGGTGGATCTGATTCTATCGAACGAGCAGTAAGTCTCAGTATATGATAACATTTAAACAAATGTTTCAGTTCGAAAACTGTTCACCATTCTGTCAAACGGGGGCGTGATAAGCAGAAAAAGCACTAAACATTACAAAACTTCAAGAGAATCGGTTAGGCGATTAGAACAACCCAAACCCAGATGCTAGTCATTTGTCTCTATTAGTCAGCTTTGAAACATTTTCAACTGAGTCATAATTCTGAAAGGTGGTACTAAGCAGAGCCATGTCAAATGCTAGAAGCAAGCTTTTGGAGATAGATTATGCCATATCGTGTCAGGATATACCGTTTGATCAACTGTATAGCAATGATGGAGTGGATATTACGCTTGCTTCTGTCTTTGAGTTCCTGGATTCTACCCTCAGCCGGGTCTATTGATTTGCCCCGCTTGAATCAGATATGCTGTGATGACGAGCGTTTCCAGGCATCTGTATTGCATTCTGTATGTGACCAAAGTCACTAGACAGGATTGTATGAGAGCAATGGAGGACTTGATTTGATTATATAACGAATTCGTCATGTAAATGAGGCGTGAGCTGAAAACCTGGGAAGCACTGGACAGCTGTTTCGATCTGATTAGGTCTCATCAGCAGTGCAAATCCATCGACCCAACTGGGAAGTGAATCCGAGACCTCACAGGTAGAACGCAAGCTTACTCTCACTGTGCCGCTCTCTCGGTCACCGGGCAGCTGATCAGACTGCTTCACATTTGGAATATACACGATATAGCACAACCCATCTTTGCGAGCTTGTTGCAGACAACGGACCTTGTTCATCTCAGCCCTGGCCTCCGGGCTTAGGACTCTGAACCGGTAGATGAGTTACAGTTGATCCAGAAGCAAACAAAATGACCATGGGACTCCCAACTACCATGGTGGGTCTAAATCAATTCTCAAAGAGAAATCGCTAATTAAGCAATCGCACCATGATAATTCTTATAAGACGGAGTTCGGATGCTGTCCAGTTNCCCGTTGGGGGGGGGGGGGCACGCAGAGGTAGTAGCGTTTTTTAGCGCTATCTCACAAGGTTTCATCTTCTATCGTTGTGGTAACACAGAGTACTAACCAATTTCCAAATAATACATGCATATCCAACTGTCGATTCGCACTTAGCACAGTTCAACATTCTTTCTAGTTCCGTACCTGGCCTTTGATCTCCAACAAGGGTAACTATTTGACGCAGAATAAATCAGCTGACTAAAAATGACCGCTATTTTTGAGGAGCGGGGAAAAAGACGTCTCCCACAAAAATGTCAAGTTAAATGTTTTCCCCCACCAAAAAATATTTAAAAATTTCGAGAAATAAAATGCACGGAATCAAGAGATAAACGTTGTGAAAAATCAATCATATGGCTTACCGGCCTTGGCGAATTCCAGGGGAAGGTCTTCAATTCCACCTCGCTTCCCGTCAAGTTTGTTTCCGAAAACACCTTGAACAAGCAGAACAATATAATTTATGAACCGAGGGTTTACATGTTCGTGTATTTTTCACTTTATTAATGATACTGTTCGTTATTTGATTTCGTTTGCACATGGTATTTACTTGAGTAACGAAGTTCACAAGCATGGACACAAACATATGCAAACGGTCTTTCCGGAATAGAAGCCCATTTTTATGTGCACCTTGCATCAAATGTGAAAATTTTCGTCAATACGCGGTTGGCGTTTACTATGCAAGGAACCTTCAATGCTGCCTGATTACCGTACAATTCGAGAACCGCGTCAACCATAAGTAGGCTCACAAAAGACACGTTGTCTGGGCGTACCACATGTGGGGCAACATATCCTTTTTTGTTGTGTTCATAACGCAATACCTATTGGCCGGATGGTAAGACAGCTGTCTCCTAGAGCACTATACAATTTGGCACCCACACAATGGGGTTGGGCGCAACAGCTGGCAATCTAGATGGTACACATCAACAGGTAAAATGTCAAATCCGCCTTAAGGATCGTCTAACGATTTTCCCATCACTCCTCGACAAAACTGCTGCTTCGCAAACTTACCATTGCCTTTGCATACCGGATCTATCTATGCTAGAGCGGTAGGTTTACGCACTGCGGGTGCTTTGATCGAGCGAATGGATCATACAAATGGTACACACTCGGATAACTGAGGGGAAGTGACGTAGAAAATTCACATTCGTGTCCATATTCTCAAGGCCACCTACATACACTGTCTTTAAACGATTGAGGTATCAATCTCTACACACACCAAATCCTTGTGTGAATTGGACAGGCTGTGAAAACAACAGTTCGCCCCGATCACACGTGCTTATGTTGTGACAGACACATTCGCGTTCTATGAACTTAAAGCAACAACATACTGCGGTTAGACGAATCCTGTGCCAAGTGTCGAAACCACGACCTGGCTTTGACAGCATTGTCACACGTCTAAACAGTGGAGATATAAATATTTTGTGCCTGATATTGTCACACTACGAGAGATCGACCGTACTGGAAAAACAGAAATCGAAATCTATCGTCACATTCAGGAGATTCACGGTGCAGCTCGGACTGCAAGGCGAAAACAATGGGTTACAATTGACCCTCGCAACCGTATCAAACAAGCTTTGGAATTGATGGGCAGAACCGCTTACCAATACTGAGTTCGAAGGAAATTGGCTTGTTTTTCGAGCCCAGAGCTTTGTCGATCACAGTCGCATCAAATATGGAGGCGAACAGGAAATAGATGTTCTTTTTGCCGGCTACCGTCTGAAATTGAGGTTGGACAAAGTCAAATTGAGGGTAGAATTCTTTCAAAATACAAGGT